AAGATCAAATCAGTTAGTTAAATTGCAGTAGTATTTTGAATCAAGATAAGGATCCCCCGCTCCCACCCCGTCCTGAAATACTCACTATCTCGGAATAGAAACATATAATAGAAATCAGAGGCGTAATAAAAGACTAGCTTCAATACCCTGATCTAAATCAGCTTTTCACATTACACTCTGAGTATTAAGAGGATATATTCAGGTTTGATGCTGAAGTCATTTATCTCGTATACATGTATTAAGAGGATAGATAAAAATTAAAGAAGTTACACAGGGTAGTTTTATTAAACGGTGACTTCTATCTTTGTCTTTTTTACTATAACATGCTAAATAAATGAAACACTTTACATTTTAAAGTTACATGAAGCAAGTAATGCAGTGATCTAATCAGGATTTTTTCTCAGGTGGGTGCAAAATTCTCATTTTCACAATTCAGACAAAAATTGGTCAAAATATGCCCATTTTTCATGATTTTTCTCATTTACAAGTGGATGCAAATAGATTTTCAGGTGGGTGCCTATTTTCAAAATCTCAGGTGAGTGCTGCGCCCACTTGCTTTAATGCTTGGGAGATCACTATAATGGTGACTAAGTTTGGTCAAAATTTGGAAAAACGAACAGGGGTAATCTGAATACTTATCAATGTGAGCACTTTTTGATGGTCAAAATTTTGTTACACTATATTTCCAATCAAGTCACATAATTAGAAAACTTGAAATGTGAACATCTGCTAACTCAAACACTTTTGGCCGACCCCAGTAGTGTTCACATTGGACTCAGGTTAGCTATACTGGTAGTGTTCAAATTAGAAAGCTCTTGCTGTATTTCCTCTATTTCTAATTCAAACTACCATGAATGGCCATGAGCCTGAATCAGTGATTTTTAGAGCATATTAAGACAGGCCCGTTTTTGCCAAGGGTGGGGGTTCACTTTTCAGAAAGATTTCAGAGGGGGGGGGGGGTCGCTTGGACAAATTTGGTCACACATGAAAAATGCATGCTCAGAATCATGATAAACTGCATGATTTTGTAAGAATTTATGGCCAGGGGGAGAGTTCGCCTGAACCCCTTGAACCCCTGGCAGGCCTGCTAGTTCAGGATCAATTGTCTTTCTTCATCAGAGGCTAGTAGTAATAACCAGTGTCTGCCTTTAGGGTATCTCCATGATCAATCATTACCTCTAATCCTCATGCCATTCAGACATATTGTACTAATGTTAGATTTAAACTTCATGTCAATTGCAATACAGGATAAAAGCTATTGCATGAAACCATGTTAATTTATTTGACATTTATTCAGTACATATAATGGTGCATAGGAAAAAATCTCATTGTTAAAGCTTCTTGTTTTCAATACAGTTTCATATATAAAAATGATTACAAAAATATGACAGTAAGTCCCTTTAAATTGACCTCACAAGTAATAATACAAGGCATTGATATGCAAAATATCACCACCTGCATTTTGCCAATGATAATGCCGAACGCTGACTGCCGAATGACAACTGCCGAAAACCAACCTCAAAATGGTTGGAGAATGTCACCACTTCTCTTATTAATCCAACTACTTCAAATTTTGAGGCAATAGTTTGCACCCATTTGGAAATTCATTGCACCTCCTTAAGAAAGAAATCCCTTGACAAAAAGCATTAAGGTAGTTAAGCAAGATCACAACAGAAGTTGAAAAAATTGAGAAATGTAATTTCATTTCAATTCTACTCAATCAAATCTTATTGATTTTGAATAATGTATTCTACCATGATAAGTATCATTAATTTCATTAATTATTGGTATATTCTTATCATTAAAAAATTATTAAAAAAATCTCATTTTGTTAATTTGCCTTATTGTTGAAAAAATGTTACTCTTATGTTAATACTATGAAATCTACTCATCATTGTGTCAATTCCTACGACTAAAGTGAGTTCTGTTCATGCTTATTTAACTCAATTTCTCTCTAAAATTTGAATGAAGGATCTGATTTTCTTCTATTTTTATATAATTAAGAGTGTTAACTACATGCCTTTTTAATTTATTCATTGATAATTCAACTTTCTCTGACACGATTTTCCATTTTAAAACATGACCTTGTGATGTGGTTTTTTCATGAATGAGCTGTCAAAATTTTTTGATTAATTGACACATTGTCATGGTGATATGCTGTATAACAACAAAAAATAGATCAATGAGATATCAACAAGTACAAAACGTACACAAAGGTCATGGTGATCAGGTTAAAAAAATGAGAGATATAAAACATATTAAGGTATTTTAAAGTGCAGTAATGGGTATTATTTATATTTAAATGAATTGAAGACACTGTCCTGAGAATGTCAAATTGTTTTTGACAGAAAAAATATTTTAATAATGAAAACATAAATTGTCATACAATAGAACTCAATTGTCAATTAACAAAACAATTAAATTACAATTTCTTACTTACCAGAAAAGCTTTAATTTGTATACCAACATATTCAAACTCCATTTTCTTTTTTTATTCTTTAACCTAGGAGAACTTAACTTGAATCGATTTAAAACTATTGCCATTTGTCATATGCGAACATTGCATGCCATCAGCCTAAATTGAGGTATTTTAAAGTGCAGTAATAGGTATTATTTATATTTAAATGAGTTGAAGACGCTGTCCTGAGAATGTCAAATTGTTTTTGACAGAAAAAAATATTATAAATTGTCATACAATAGAACTCAACTGTCAATTAACAAAACAATTAAATTACTATTTCTTACTTACAAGAAAAGCTTTAATTTGTATACCAACATATTCAAACTCCATTTTCTTTTTTATTCTTTAACCTAAGAGAACTAAACTTGAATCTATTTAAAACTATTGCCATTTGTCAAATATGAACATTGCATGCCAACAACCTAAATTGAGGAGATATTACATACAAAAATTAATGACCAAACAAGTAAACAAGTGTTGATATTATCACAAAATTCTCTCTAAAATTTACACCGATCATGTCTTATATTCTTGCATTCTCTGTATGTATAATTCATTATGTGGCATCAAATGTGCTTATTTTACCATTAGGATTTTTTAAGGAACATTTTGACCCCTTAACATAATATTTTTCTGTAGAGTAGTCACTCTAATTTAAATATACTTTAAGATTTGTGTTATGATAAGAAAATGTCAAAGCATTAGAAAAAATATCAATGCTATTAAATCATCCAGTTATGAAGGCCAATATATAGTTACTTATTTTTACGTAGAGTTTTAAAACTACTATTTATTTATATATCATTATGTATACAATCTACTCTTATCTCATTATGAACATAAGGCATTAACATGCAAAATGTCATAATCTACCATTTGTTACAGATGCCGAATGCCAACTGCCGAACACCAATCGCTGAATACTGACCATCAACCACCAACTGCCAAACACCATCCACAAAAAACAGACTATAACAATATATCACCACTTCTGGTGGTGACATTATAAGTGAATTGTGAATAGAGGGGGGTCTAGATAGGGGGTAACAGGTAAAGGCAGAAGAGAGGGTGGGGGAAGATAGAGGGGGAGTAGATGAAGTAGAAATACAGTAAAACATGTATATAGTGAACACCCATGTCACAAAAAGTGTTCACAGTAGGTAGGTTCACTACAGAGAGGGTATTGTATACAGGAGTCAATGTAAAATGTGTCTTGAAGTGGTGTTCACTAAATACAGGTGTTCATTAGAGAGGTGTTCACTAAGGCAGGTTTTCTGAATATAGGAAAGGATAGATTAGAAAGAGAAAGGATAGAAGGGTATAGTACAGGCAAACTTTTATAGCTTATTTAACTTGATTTCAAAATGTGCTAACCTTGCTTCCAAGAATCACCTCTAATTCAAAGAGGGGGACAAAATCAGGTTCTTGCAAAGGGTATATAATATCCTTGTAAATAAATCACTGCACTAAGCATTGTCAGATGACTTGGAGCTTTTCCTTCTATCAGTTATATATTGGAAGAAGTCCCAAGGGTAAAATTCATGCATGGCATATTCTTTAGAAAAATAACATTCTTCGGTTAACCTTTTTGGGGACCTGAGCACCGCTGGCCCCTGGATCTGCCAATTTGTTGATTGACAATAGACCCCTTGAAAGTTGGTAAAACATATTATGTGTAATTACATGGACAATAGAAGACCCCTTGAAAGCTAATCAGATTCAGATTATACTGACTTGATGAGAACTGCAATAAAAACTAGAACAGTAAACCCATCAAAAATATCTCCATGTCACGTGTAATTCTTGCTTTTTCTCACCAATTTTCTTCAGATTTGTTTAATTTTTTTACATTTCCCTACAATTTGAAATATTAGTTTTGTGTCTATTTAGTTAATTCCCCGAGAATTTCTCTCTTTTTTACTGTATTTTGCAATCTTAATCATGACCTTACATGAAGTTTTCGTGAGGGTAGAGATAAACTAGCTGGTCAATGCAAGTCTTCTTACGTCAGAGAAAGTATGATTGTATTGATCTCCTATAATATAATTTCACCGTTAGACTTACGTTCTATCATTGTAAAATATTGAGAAAGTATATGGAATTAGAGAGACGGCAGAATTATCATAGAATATTATCAATTAATTACAAATAGCATATCGTAACGATACATGTACTAATTACGACCCGAGGTGACTTTCCGTCCATTTTTTAAACAAGTAACTGAGTGAAAATATGAGGAATACAGAGTTAGGTCACATCCCTATAACTCAATTTTCTCTATGTATTGTTTTACTCTGTTTCGGATCAATCAATGTTAGTACACAAGAATTATTACATGTTAAGGTCATGTTTTGAGATGTGCATAATTGTTTGCAAAAGTCTGAAATTATCTAAAAAATAATTAAACAGACACGCAATTAACATTCCAAATTGTGCAAAAATACAAAAACTTTCATACAAATTTGAGTGAAAAAAGGAGGAATAACGAAACAAACATGACATAATTGAATCGAACTTGATCGAAAGGTCAAACTCTTACCTGAGTAGGCTGGCTAGGTATATAGATGTAATCATCACTATTAGGTGCTCGAGATGGTTGTCTCATACAACAGCGACAAAATATCCCAAATTTTTCCTCCTTGAGCATTGTATACGACATATTATTGCGTTTTGTGACACCAGTCATAAAATTTTATAATCCTTAATTTCGAGTCCAGTCCAGCGATTATACTGATCAAAATATGAAAATGATTTATTAGATACATGTATCCCGCTAGTATGTTTTTGAACAATGATATATATGAATGTTCAAAATATATCGTACGGTTACATAAATTCCAGCACTGCCTAGTAATAATAAACTGTCTATCGTTTTTTAAATATCATCCTCCTTCGCAAGATCATACAAACATTTTAGCAAATGAACAAAAATTCATTTTAGCTATATATGAAAATATATCCTCCAATCAAATCTTTATTGCCTCTTTCATCTATCTCCGAAATAGCTTCAACGTTGCTCTAGCCTTTATCGATCATATCCAAAAAATGTAAGAGCAATTGTAGGCAACTAAAAATATTTTCAGTAGTCTCTTTCGATCACTTCATTTCACATTTGCTCCGTTGAATTATATAATCCCCATTCTGGTATTTTCCGTTCAGTCTGTTGGTTCCGATCAAGAACTCAACGACCATAAAATAAACTCCATCAATGGAATCTTCGAAATATTCCTTTTTCTAGGTTAACACTTCGCTGATTCTTAAATACAGTTTAACGGTGTTAACAGTTCGATGATTCTCAAATATTGCTTTTTCTGAGTTAACAGTTCATTGGAAGCAGATGAGAAGTAAAGTCCATTCATGCAAAGCTGTTGAGATACATTCAGCGCAATAGTTTAATACTAGCTTGCGATAAATCAAACTAATTAAAACAAATATCAATAATCTCAAATCCAGTATTTATAGACTGCAACATGATTTTTATAAATCCAATTCACTGAACAGTGAAACTCGCAAGATGGCTCAAATTATAAGCTCATGTGTAGTATTTTTGTTTCAGGCATCCACTGTATCACACTCCATGTAATTCACATATACATATAATTGAGGCTGAATAATTTGTCAATAAGTGGCTCACTTATATGAGTATATGCTAATAGTTCAACTTCCACTGAACTAATAGTTTAGTATAGATCAATGTAGACTATATCGAAAGACGTCACATAATTGCACACAGGCTACAAATGGATCTATAGTACATTCCCGCTGTGTCTTATTTTTTAAAACTTGCTCTTTCCTTGAAGATAGTAAACACAGAAAAAGGTTATTCGTGAATAACAACTTCAAAATCACCACTTTTCCCCAACTCCTGAGATAAATGATATCTTCCAAATAGTTTCCACCTTCAAAATATGAGAGCTGCCTTGCTTTACTAGTATACTAAGTACAAATTAGTTTTCAAAATTTCACACCTGTTTATCCTGGTTCCTGGTACATACTCTTTTCTATTTCATGAAATTTCAGCACCTGTTTATCCTAGTCCTTGCATGAACATCAAGATTTTCCTGTAATTCCTCTATTTGATGTGATTTACATTAAAAGTTTTATATAAAAGGGCTTAATTCAATATCATAAACCCTAGAGGTTTCTGAACTCTGAGTCAATATCACAGTCCCCTGTCAGTATATTTACTTTCATTATTTACCTGTGTTTAAAATTACAAAGAGGTCACGCTTATTCCCTGCCATATAATTCCAAATGAGCAAACAACTCAATTCTCTAATATTTTTATCAAGTATTTAATCTAAAGTATACCCACGAGAAGTTTATATCACATATATCATTATTATATAAAATTTGTTTTGAATTTAAAAATGTCGATAGTGACTTTTTTTGCGAAGGACAACCTAAGCTCGACCTAATCCAACAACAATATAGATGTATAGCACAATTCCCTGCCAAAAAAATCCAAACTTTTCACAGTTTTTTCTTAAACACATAGTACTATACATAAATGACCTGTTTACACCATTTTTGTTAAAAAAACTAATGGGGACATTTTGACAATTCGTTTCCAATGTGATCTCGCTTGTTGTAGAAAGTATAAATGGCCTTGACACTGTTTAGTGTTTACTGTTTACATAAATTAAGTGTACGCTTTTCTAAAGTTATACTATTTAATGTGGATGTTAATTTAAATGTTGCTATAAGATCAAACATGTATAAATAAATCTAAAAATTCATATCTTGTGTCGCATTATTGAAAACAAAACAAGCGTCGCTATGACAAAATTGACTTGGCAAAAGTCTATGATGTCAATATTAGTGCTACAATGTCAATTATAATTTATTAAAACCCTATTATAAAGGATTTACCCTGCGTGCAGAGTCTAGTTAAACTACACTCTGCCTAGTAGAGACCATATTACAGTTTAGTAGCCCCGCCCCCACGACGGGTACCGGTGACAGTTTCGGAAATAAATCACTTCTAACCTACGCGCTGACCTTTCTTCCTCTAATCAGCGAGCTTGAAGAAACATACGCCAAATGCGTTCTAATTAAATATGCGCATGTCATTGGTCAATTCCGGGCTCAACGATGACGTCAGAAGGAATGACCATATATAGAACGTCGGTCAAATTTGGCCGACGAACACTGATTGGCGCGGTGAGTTCACAGGTTTATTTTAGTTTGAAAGAGTGAAGACGAAGCTCTCTTTTAAGAAGTGAAGTCAAACGAATGCAAAGGGTATAAAGGATTGCTTATCTGCATTGTGGTTTAGCTTTCACCAAGGGGGTTCACTTTTCAAAGAATTCCTGGGGCGTTCAAATTTGACAACTTTGGCCCAAAATCACTTTAAAAGTGCTCAGAATGGTGAAAAACTGCATGATTTTGAAAAACATTCTGGCCAGGGGGTTCAATCCCCCCTCCCTCCCACCCCCCCACCCCCCCCCCCCTTGCTACAGGCCTGTGGTTAAAAACTGAGAATGTGACGGTTGTTCGACCCAAGTCCAACAAGTTTTACTTCTGTTTTATTTTCTATTTCTGACTGGAAGTAAGACTCAAAGAAGATGAAGCTAACTTTTAAGAAGCTAAGTCAAATGAATATGAAGGAACTCATAAATCACAAAGAATTAACATGCAAAATGTCACCACCACCATTTTTTACAAACATCAACCGCTACTTTATATTTGTTACAGATGGCAACCACCATTTTTTTCATTTGTTTCAGATGACAACCACCATCCACAATTAAGATATAATAATGAAACTATGAATTTAAATAATGACGTTTAATAGCTACTCATAATTAGTGTTTAATCCGTCAAAAAATCCAACAGCAAAAATGTCCCTGTACCCATGAAGATAGGAACCCTGGTATAGGAGTAATAGTAATAGCCTCTGAAAAGGTCATATTTAGAAGTGTTTGAAACTACAATTTTGATCAAGAAGAAAATTCTTCCCTCGGACAAGGTTAGACAATTTTACAGTTTTATAATATCAAAATAAGCCAATTAAGTTATATCATTGATCCAGGGTGTCATTTCCAGATTGTTACGTAAAGTACAGAATTTTTAGAACTAATGTTCATCTTTGACGTCATGAAATCCAGGGATACTTTAAGACCAATTGTTAAACATATTAGCAAATATTTCGAATAATAACAATATAATAACAGGATATTAAAATTGATGACAATCATAAAATAATTCAAAGGATGACTCAATATGATTCAAAGATCTGTCTGTTATACAATGTTATATATATCGCTAGGTGAGAAAGTCACACAAAATGATTACTTGTTTCTCATCTACATGAGTCATTATATTTATGTAAATAAACTAGAAGAAATGGCCACATGCAAACTAGGGTTTGAAAGGTATTTAAAAAAACAATATAACTACAATAAGTATATTTCAATAAAGAAACACAAGGAGATAGAGTTTGAAAATTTATGGAAATTAGTGCTATCATGTATTTCAAATGATGAATGAGATAATAAGCTTCATATAATGTAACATCCCTCTCATGTTCAAATCACAAAGATTCAAACCCTCTCTCTCTCTCTATCGCTTGAAAATATACAATTTATATACTATGTATTAATGTAATATTATGTATAACTGTATGCATTTATGTTATCTATGTCATGACATATACTGTAAAATGATAAAATTGGAAATAAAAAAATAAAAAAATGTTATATATATCACCGCTCTCCCCATTTTGAAATCTCTGAGGCATAGCACCTCCATCACGCGTAATAATACAAGAAGACTTAGAACTTGAGATGCACATATGTATATAACCTTTTCAATTGTTTGACTTTGCTTCTTTAAAGAGAGCCTTTTTCTGAATAACTGGGCCTTATTTTTAAATTTCAGCATTATCAAGAAAATGGGCCATATGTTTTCAAAATTTGGGCCTAATTTTTGGTTTAAGGTGCTTAAAATTTTCCGTGCAAGCGCAAAAATATTTTCTTCGAACCCCTTAGGGTATATTATTGTATACGTGGAATGTTTCTTTGAAATCCCACATGTAGAATGTCAAAATCACTGAATGTTTAAATTCCACCATGCTGAATGCCTAACTTTGCACGCTGGATGCCAAAACCAGCACGCTGAATGCCAAAACCATGCTGAATGCTAACACTGTATACTAAATGCCAAAACTTTGTTGAATTCTAACACCGCTGAATGCCAAATCCTACACGATGAATGCCACACTATGCTGAATGCTAAAACCTGCATGCTCAATGTCAAAATGTTGAAGTCTAAGACCGCACGCTGAATGCCAACACCTGCACGCTGAATGCCAACACTTGCACGCTGAATGCCAACACAACACACTGAACACCTATCTCAATAGATGGTCACAGCTACAAGTTCCCAACATATAAATGAGGAATAATATACGAGAACCCAAAATGCAATGATTTGAATTAATTAATGAAAGTGACCTTAAAGGCATCGAGTTTAAACGCAAAATTATAAATACAGAAATGACACTTTTGATACTTATTACATCTTCCAATAATTTTTAAACAAGATGAGAACTCATAAAAGTTGGTGATCCCTCACTATGAAAAAATGCCTGAAAATTGAAATGTTTCCTTCAAAATTTCAGAGAGATATGAAGGGAATGAGCTTGAGCAGATGGATTTTTATTTACAAAGGCTTAATCTCTGTGAGAAACATCAATGTGGCGTATGATGAGGCCACTGCAGGGTAACTTTGATTCTCCCGCATATCACATTGAGGATTTTTATTTTGTCATTGTAGTATTACAACAAAGAATATATCTTGAAATCCTTCAATGAGAAAACTGTCCTCAATAATTTTTGTAACAGATATTTTGTTGTTTGATTATTTCTTAAACCCATTTTTTTTTTTTTGAAAAAAAACTTCACATTGTTGGTTTAGTTCATTGGGTGCCCTGATATCACACACTACATTCGTGTTTCATTTAGCAATAAAATAAATAAAGTATCTTAGTAGTTTTAGAAAAAAGTTCTGTATTTGATTTGATTAATAATATATAGTGATTAATCTAAGGATTCTCTACGCATCTTTGTAAATGAATTTTTTTTAAATAGGTTAATTGTTTTTATTTACATAATAAATTATATATAAATTTATACATGATTATAGAGGGCTAAGGATTTAATTGTCATTTAATAATCTGACCGTTTGAGATTAAATAATCAACTAGGTGTTAAACCTTTAAAGATGTGAGAATGACAAGCTGAATATAAGATACCATGTCGATAAAGATCTGTTTTTACATTGCCGAAAGAGAAAATATTGTTTAAGCTGTTGAAATAATTACAACTCGGCACCCTGAAAAAGCGTGAGGAATTGTACTTAAGTGATCGTTGAAATTTCGAGTAGAGCTTTTCCAATTGGTTATCCATATTTGAAAATTTGGGGTGTAGTAATCAATTCCCAAATCATTTAATGCTAACAACATGTATATCAACTAACTATATTAAGCCAAAATGTTGACCTCAAATAAAACTACTTCGATCATATTCTCATCATCGTTTTCCAAGTGGATCTAAACATTGTGAATCAAGAATTGCGATTATTTTCTTATACCTTAATTAGGCAAAATGCTCCAAAATGAGTTGTTTCCTTATATGGAGAGATCTGGCATGGAAAAAGCATCACCGAATCACCATTGAAGTTTGGACAGTGACGAGTCCACGATTAAAATTTGAATTAGATATTGAAGGCAATTTTTCTG